ATATACAGCATGAGCAGCTAGCTGCCGTTCCCCAGGGTAAGGATGCCTAGCTCTGATGCCTAACTCCTGGTATGTGTTTATACATCATGGTTCTGATAGAACAACATCTTTGCTACCAGTGACTGGTGTTAAAATCTACTTATTAATGTTTTTGCTAACAGAATTCTGCTGCAGTTCGGTGGTTAGACTATGTTAATGGCAGTGAAGTAAAGTTGCATGATTTACTGCCATTAAAAGAACAATTCAGACAATTTCCCTATCAGGTAGGAATAGTTTTTATCATTTTATCATTATCAAGTTTTTGGGATTACCTTATTTAATGTGTCAGAATACATACTTTTGTAATGTTGTTATATGTCACCTGATCACTTGAGTGTATTTATATGTAAAAAGTAGGGCTGGTGGAAGATAAAAATGACAGAATATATATAAGTAAATTATGAAAACACTCTTTGATGTTCCCTTGATGTTTCTTTGATGTTTCATGTGTTCCTGAGTCATGGACATTGAATGTGGAAAGATATGATTTGAAGCTTTAAAGCTATTGTGCAATGATAATATTCACACTTTCACAAAAGCAAGGTTAAATTATTTTTACTATGTTTAATAGATGTACCAGAAATAGCAGTGGGTAGTTAAACAATGAATGTCTCTTTTAATAAATGGGCATATTTAATGTTTGTTTTTTTTATTATTAACTTATAGGGACTTAGATGTACTCTATTTGATGATCTTGATGATGAAATGCCAAGATATGCTAGATGGCATTTTGCAGATGTTACAACAGGACATCTACTGAAGTGTACTCTAAAAAAGAAAGTGAGTGTTCACTTTTATAATTTCTTGAGATCAGCTACCTGCATTCTGCCACTCAGAGTTTTGTCTTATCAAAAGTGAAAAATTACTGCTCTGCACATTTTAGGTTTTTCAGATGGGTTCGAATGATCATTTATTTCCATTCAGTACATTTATTGCATGTTACGTGATTCTTTGTTATGAATATGTTCTTAATTTATGCGTCTATGTTGGTGCCAAAACTTTGTTACTTTGTTTCTGTTGTCTGCTTTGTCGCGTGTTGGTCTTGCATGGTACTTTTAGAGCAGTGTAATGGGAGGTGTATTATTATCATGTATTGCTTTTGTGGTGAGCATTAATCACATTATTGTTGTTGCTTTTGCATCATGCTTGGTTTGTATATGTGCATCACACATTTTAAGTAGCATCAGGGGCAGATTGAGTTAAACATCTATCTGTGATTCAGACATTCTCAAAGAGTTACTAAGCGTGCTATTATAACAACCCATAAATGAACTGAAAGCCTTGAAATAGGCGAATACACTGATGCTGCCAATGTTTGTCTTAAACATCTTGTTGGTGATCAAAACCTTACTCTGGGAAATCACTAACACTGGTGCCCAACTACCATGATAGCATGTCTGCAAAGTCCTTTCTTTAAAGAAGGTTAT